CGTCTTCGTAGGCGAACCAACTGCTTCGTCTGTCATATGACAGCGGTACTTTGGTGGTCACCTGCTGAAAAGCTGAGAGTCGGTGTAACTCCTGAAGATATCGCTGACTTGTCGCATAAGATTCGTGACCTTGAAGGAGGTCGTCTTCATCTCCCTTGCCATGCTCGTAATGCGCAGCAGAGAGGTTAGCCATGGCTCTGTCCTCGGATCGAGCCCCGGGAGGTTTCTCTTCCGGTTGTCTCCACTTGAAGAAGTGTACTGGAAAACCTCCGGCCACCTCAAAGGTGAAACACTCCGGGTATCGGGTTGCTGCCACCTGTGCAGAGCGTGCCAACGGGTACCCCCACGAGTGTGAAGCTTCCCGTTTTTCCAGGGAGCTTTGAGATGTAACCTGAGCGTATATACCCAGACATACCCGGACCCTCGCAAGGCGTACAGGTCTACAGGCAACGCAGGAGTCTCTGTTTATCACGGGCGCACAGCTGTCAGTGTGATCTCTGCTGGAACCTTGAGCAACAAGCCTAGATACATGCAAGTGGTACGTGAAACAGACATGCACCTGGATGTGTAGCATCAGTGTTTCACCCCCCAAATTTGAGCGTTTCCCTTCCCCACACCATCCGCCCCGCTTCCCTCGTCACTTCCTTGCGGCGATGCAAGACGGGCTAGTTTACATCATTCGTGAAGCTGATGCCAAAGCCTGAGAATTCTGGGACTGTGTCTTATAAAACGCTGCAAAGCTTGATTCCCCTTCCAACATATGGGAGGCTGTATACGAGACCCGTGAGAGGTGTGATACGAGTATTGCAGTAACGTCTATGGGATAACGCGAGGAATGTGAAATGGGATTGTTGCTCAGAGCCTCAGCCTGAAAACAGAGACTGACATTGAAGCAAATGCGCTCGTTCACTCAAGACCTCACTTGCGTGACCTACCCGATCCTACGCGGGCCGCGGTGGACGACGCGAAGCCTTTGATTAACATCGACAAAGCTACAACACTGCTCACAACCACCTGAGAATCCGGCCAGCACTCTGCAATTCAGGCGTGCTGCTGCAACATGCAGGAACGTCTGACCTCGCACCAACTCGAGCCGGTCGGGAACACCGGCACCGTACTCATGATCCATGAAGAATGCAAAGATGCACAGAAGCAGGCCCTAAGTAAGTCCCACGGACATAGACGCCCGAGCAAGTTACGCACCCAACGCAGATCCTCTGCAAAAAGCACACATCCCGAAGAATGCAACTTCCCGATTGCAGCTGCCTTCATCATTCTTCTGACCTCTTTGCGCGAGCAGTCTGAAAGCAAATCCGCTCAACACAGATCGCCACATCTCGGCGTCTGACAAATGATTGGCGCACCGCCAGTTGAACTCAACAGCTTTGACACCAACCTCAGCAAACACTGCAGTTTTCCGCCGCAATTGTGCCATGTCGCTGAGTGCGCCGCTCTGCATGCAGACTGTCGAACTTCTTTGCCCTACAGATGAGGTGCATCAACCTTGCAGTGGCACTGAAGGAATGGACTTGCCAGCACGAGCAATGGCTCGTAGGAGTACTGCATCTCACTTGCTAGATTTGCAGTCTGTCTCTGCTTGCTCTTGCTTTGCCAGCTTGCATGATTAGCTTGTGCTGAGGGCTGTCACTCAGAAGTACCGCGTCGGTTGTGTGGCATGCGGTGAAACACAGTCAGAGTGTCTAGATATGTCCATGTTCTTCTGCCTCGTAGAGTCAGGCGACTGTCTCGACTTGGATACAATGTTGATGTAAAAGCTTGTTCAGTGGTTTTGCAGCGACACGGTAATTGGAGCTGCAAAATTGAAATGGAATAGAAGGTGCACCCCGACGTGTACAAGCGAAGAACCTGCAGCTTATACTCTAAAAGGTTCCTCGGTCAGCGGAGGGTTCAGCAGAACAGTATATAATTATTCACTTAATTATTCGCAATATCGTGTGGCGTTGAATGCTGAACGCTGACGCACACCTCCTAGCATTCAAGAGCTAACATGCCGGAGACAGGGCCGAACCCTGGCAAACGTAAGGAAACGCCGCAGGAGCAGGGCATGTCCAATCTATCTTGCACGCTTCAGGCTCAGGCGTGTCTCCTGAAGTTGTCGTCTCGCTTGTGTCCACACCTGGCGAATGCAGAAGGTGCGCGCAAACACACAAACACACCTGAGTGAGCAGAAGAATTAACCGGTTTGGGATCCACGGCCGGTCACCAGCTCAATGATTCCAATACTCCCCCTGATGTCTTGGATACGACATTGCAACCTTACATCTGCGATGCAACTTGGTGCATCATCGGGCATATTGAACACAACCCTACATGTGACATGCTCGCTTCATTTCGTTTCGTAGATCTTCGTGCGCCACGCCTGTGTTGATCGACTGACGGGGCTTGGGATCTCTGGATGTGCTTCTTTGGACTTGCATTCCACTGTGATCCTGCTTTCGCTCGGCTGCAAGTGCCGTCTGCGGATACCTGCACGGCTTCGAACTCAGGTTAGATGCCTCAAGCAAGCCTTCCTCGAAAGAGGAGTCTGTGCCCCAGCAGCTCATGATCCATCTGCAGACCGAGCAAAAGACCTATTTATTCGTGCTGCAAGTCACAGCTCACAGCTGACATCGCCTCGGCATCCACCGTCGGGAGGGAACAGCTCCCTTTGCCGATGCTCACGACTTCCGGATCGCTGCACATCAAATGTTCGGCTGTTGAGAGCCATCGACGGGTTGGTAAGACTGCGACCAGATTCGAAGAGCTACTGCTGGAAGCCCATGCCTTGGCAAACTAGGTGGCTTCACCCGTCCAATACCCTGGCAAATAACCTCAGACTCAGGCAGTATTGAAAGCAAGAAGATGCTGCGACCTCTCCTTGAGGACATGAAGCGTGCCGCAATCATGGCCCTGCAGCTCGGAAGTTGCGAAGCCTGCCGTCACGTCCGCTTTTCAATTCCTGGCAAGTGTGCTGAAGCAGACTGCGGAATCATCCGTAGGCCACAAAACAACAGAACAGCGAGACAGCAGCTACCAAGCATAAAGGAAAGTGCATGACAGCATGGAAACTTCAATGCATGCAATGCGGTCGTGTTCAGTTCGGGGCTCCCCATCAGAATCCCGAAGCTTCCCGAGGCTGAGTTGGCTCAGTTTCGGTTGCACAGATCGGATCGTCAGTATCACGAAACGGCTCAGGCTTCTCATCTCATTCGTTAGATTCTCGGACTTACGAAGAACTGGCCAAGAGAGACAAGATCCGGCCTCTTCCACCAAAAGCATGGCCTCGAGACCACAACGACCAAGATGCAGCTCTCAAACTTCAGTCGCTAGCACCCCACAGGCAAAGCTAGTACTTAAGATTGTCATTGGCGTGATTGTCAAACCGGGTCAGCGTTGCCTGCGCTTCCTCACCACGCTCCAAGCATTGCCAGCATGCGTCCTGCACGCGGCAAGCCGACGAACGAAAATGTACCCAAGCAAACATCTGAGTCAAAATGGCCGTTGCACACAAAATCATCGGACAGAAGATCGAAATAACTCTGCTAGTCCCAGGCCACAATCGCCGCTCGATTCTCCAGCACGTTCCACGAGTATCCCAGCTACTAGCAGTCTAGCAGAGTCCTTCTTGCTCAGCTCTGAGGGCTCATAGCCCAAGCGCGGCACCCGTGTGTGAGCCCTGGACTCCAGGGGCGGTAGCTCGGCTCCGAGGTCTTCCAGGCTGCTGCAAAGCTTTGGGTCAGAAAGCACAGCGGCCAAGCCCTGGCGCAGTCCAACAAAGCCCGTCTCTCGCCTAGCGTCGGCCGCAAGTCGGTCTGCAAAGGCAGTAACAAGGCCTGCAGCACTCCGAGCTCGATCTTGGATCTCTTGATACGCCTTCTCAAGCTTGGAGATCGCTGCCCATGCTTCAGCCAGTTGCTTTAGCAATATGGGTCCCCCCATAGTGTTGGGAGCTTTCATACGCTCCTGAACTTGCGCCAGCAAGGCATCCCATGCATCCACCATACGCAGAACATGTTCACAGCATGCTAGCTCTTTACACGGCCAGCCAACGCGCACTAAACGATCTGCGTGGTCAAGGTGCAGCTGCTTCTGCAAATCTTTCGACCACTGGGTCACATGCCGAAGATCTGCCAGTCTGATCATCTCTGCCCGAAGTACCGCTTGCACTTGAGATTGAAGGGCTTGTACTTTGCTGACATCGACCCGGTTCAACAGGTCCTGCTGTAGTCCTGCAGTGTCATCTGAGACTGCGAAGGGAATCTTCGCTGTCCCGGCTTTCACTGAGCATTTCAGAGAGGCATCCATACAGCCGATGGCTCTCTGTAGCCGACTAGCCAACTGCTGAGGCTTACGCAGCTGCTTGCAGGGCCTTTTAATTTAGTCCAGTAGAGATTCTACAATGGTCCCAATCTGTATCTCACAAAGCACGGCAACTCAGAGCCTTGAGAAATGCCGACACAACTCTTCCGATTGTTTACCTTACCTTTGCAACCTGCTGTTTGCTGCCCTAGTACGGCTTCGGAGTCAGGAGTCGTTTTGTCTCGGCCAAGCATGGCAGCGTGTGCAGGATTGCTGACCCGGCCAGGAAAGAACCCCGCAAAAACCCATCTGGGACAACTGCCGCACCATTACCACGACGTGCAGTCATGTCCAGTCCATACGGTGCGCTCTTTGGCTGCTTGCTCCGGTGCAACGACCAGTGCTGGTTCCATTAGCGAATCCTTTGAAGACTTGTGAAACTCGCTGGCTGGCTCATACAGCCTGGACAACTCTGCATGTCTAGTCTAGGAAAGTGCATGCATGCAGTTGAGCCTCACCCATTTCGATCACAACCTAACAGGCTTGAAAGGAGCAGACATGGGTGGAATCACAACACCGTCTTGTCTGCTAAATCCGGCCAGAACACGGCAGTGATGTCGTCAACATCTCCACCTTGCTGAATCCAGCGCGACCTCGCCTGCTGAAACGGCGCGATGTGCTTCGTGTCTTCATGTCTGCATGGCTACTGTAAGTGACCGTAGCGAGCCCGAAGTCTGTTGTTCACTTGGCATCCCAAAGTCGTACTGAGAAGTATCTGAAGCAAGCAAGAACCATTTAGCACCACCTAAAGGACTCCCGACTTGGACTCAGAACATATATCAAGGACTCACAAGCGACAGCGGTGACGTCAGTCCTGCTCCTGCATGCCGGAGTTAAGTTGCCAGAGCTATAGGACTAGCGCGCCAAACAGTTGCACCACCATGTGTTGGGCTCACGTCTGCTCAAGCAACAAACACAATGTCTAGCTTTATGATTTTGGTGTGCTGCTGCGCCGGCACTGTCCGCCTCCGACACGAGGGCTTTGGCTGCGATGCTGGCTCCTCGTAGCTAGTCAATGGAGGATTTGGAATCACTACATTTGACATCTTTCTGCCAATCCCGCAGTCGTTGAACAAGCTGTGAGGTATTTAGATTGTTTAGGGATTACGAAGAACGATTCAGGAAGCGGTGTGAACTTTGCAATATCATGCCGAAGACATGAATGATGCTGGTACATCCGTCACCTTGCTCTCCGCCGTTGAGCTTCAAAGCTGCAGCAGTGATTGCCGCAGCCTCTTGCGATGTCACCTGGCTGTGCAAGAAAGGCAAGACCGAAAGCACGATACATGAAAACATGCCCTCCCCCAACAACAGAAAACATTTACTTCGATCATCCCCACCGAGCGGTGGGAATAGAGCCTCTTACGACCATAGAGCACCTATCGGGGTGGGCATGTACGACAGTAACAGGTAGCCACTCTGGTCCAACACGAACCCCACCACCATCCCGCCCTGCCCCAGGCACATCACCACCAGCCTCCAAACATCTCCAAACACAATCTACCCTGCTTCTCATCCGACAACTCCGTATGGGACTTCTACGACTGCTACTGCTCCTCCTCCTCCTCCTCCTCCTCCTGCTCCTGCTCCTGCTCCTGCTGCTGCTATTGCTGTTGCTGCTGCTGCTGCTACTTGCCATGGTGCTGCTACTGCTTCTGCTGCTGCTGCTACTTGCCATGGTGCTGCTACTGCTACTGCTACTGCGCCTGTTACTGCCACGGCTGCCGCCACTACCACTACTACTACTACTACTACTACTACTACTAGCCACCCCCCCTCCTACCAACCACCTGGCGCCTCCATCCACCACCATCATCGGTCATCATCATCCATCATCATCCTTCATCATGCATCATCAT